GGTTTTTTTTTTTTTTTTTTTTTTTTTTTTTTTTTTAGAGTCTTTTAAGGGTACCAACCGTTCCGCGCTCATCCGTATGATTTGGAAAGACAATCAGATAAATGTGTACAGTATCCCATTAATAAATAAAAATTTTCGAAATATGCCTAACTCTGTCCTTAGGGGTTGGGAGAAAAACTTTATTCATCACCCTGTTGAAATAAAGGGGAAAGAGAGGCGACTCCCTGACACTCAAGAATGGATCGATATGCTACTTGTACCTAGCTAGCTATCAGTCACATTCTCCAGGCTACATGATGGAATCCAGACCCATGGATAAGCGATGCAAGGGGTTATTGGCCTTCCTCTTCAGAAGTATGGCTCATATCCCGGGATTCCGGAATGAAATCAAAGGAGGATGAATATGGATTTATTTTTAATTAGGGGGAAACTTTAAAACATCGAAATAGAGTTTTAATTAATATGTCAACTGCGTAAAAATATATCTAAAACGACATCCCGGGACGCATCTGAAACAATGGAACAGAATCTGTATTCCCCGCGGAATCACACAGAGGCCTTTCCGATGCGTGCGAAGGGGGAATCGACACGAAACGATCCCATTAATCTGGAAACCGCATCCGTAGGTGAGACGATCGAGGCGAAGCAGCACAAGGAGGTGACGATGCTGTTCAGCGACATCGTGGGCTTCACGGGGATCTGTGCCTCGGCCACGCCGTTGCAAGTCATCGACATGCTCCAGCAGCTTTACACGCAGTTCGATTCCCTGTGCGATCAGTTCGACGTCTACAAGGTGAGTCTTTGTTCGGAGTCCTGTGGTTTTTCAGAGGCAGGCTTCTCCTATCGGTTATCGGACGATGGTCATCGATGTCAGTTGTTGGCTGTACCCCTTATCGGTAGCGTCACGCCAATAACTGATGATAAAAAATTTATTGCGCTGCATATCTGGTCAGGGGGAAAAAAAGCGAAAATATGTGACTGGGCACTCAGATTGATTTCCTACTGCTTGATCAATTTCAAAATTAATAAATGTTAACGAATTAATCTGCTAAGAAGTCAGTATGGTCCTTTCATCGTGATTCCCAAGGCACAGTGCCCAACACACCCCCTCGCAACCTGGCATCTCGTAAGAGGGCGGGCAGGCAATGAATGCCCTTTTTCCTCTCACTTTTCCATTGGGGGGGGGGGGGGGAGGGGTATTAGTTCTTATACAGTAAAAACCTCGATGAACCTTGATTAATGCCCTGCATAGAGCGGAATTTATGTTTTCCCTCACCTCACTGCTTTAATTAGGTTTACAGATAGATACGGGAAAATATAAATTTTTCATGAGGAAGAGTAAGCACAAATTAATAATTGAGAAAGATGCATTGAATTAAATTTTTTTTATGAACGAAATAAGGAATGGCTGCATTTCCCCTGTCATCCATTATTTCCTCCAACCATGCAAGTTTGATGCGCAGGATTTATCTGTCAAGGGTCAGCAAAGGATCATGAGCCATGAATAAACGATTAAAAATACCATCCAACAGCAAATGAAGAGTCGACGCACTACCATCTCTATATCTATGGAATCAGAGATTCACAGTAAAGCGAATAAGGAGCGAAAGGGAATCCTGCGGCCATTATCCGCCGTTATCAATCCTGGTTGAGCCCGGATAAAGGAGAGGCGCGCTCAAAATGGCAAATTCATGGAATATACCCCTGCCTCATATTTTTAAAATCATATTTCGCCCCCAGGCAATAGCAATCCTAAATCCTCGTGGAAAAAAAAGGGCCAGGCACATCCACGGAAAATTCACAATGTCAACTTTGCAAGTTTATGTCTTTCAACTATCACCTCGCAATTCCGCACACTCTGGAGTCCCTTCACGAATCTTCCAATGTTCCCCAGAGTGTGAAGTGTTCAACAGACAGAAATGAGATGGATTATGGCAGTGCGCTCGCATGAAAATTACACGAGAGATCGTTCCCATAGACGATGGTTGCTTGAATACTTCCAAGGAATACAGTAGACTCCCACTTTGTGGAAGTGCTCTCGAGGACGATTGTCGTTCACGAGTTTCTCTTCTGCGAAAGACTGCCACGGGAGTGCACTACCGTGTGCAAACCAGCCCCGACACGTGCGATCATACGCGCGAGTGTGCCACCCAGTGTTTTCGTACACTCGCATGAAAGCAGAGAAAAACTCTTCTCCTTGGAAGTGCTCTCGTGATATAGATGGATATCTGTGGAGAATCTCCAGTAAATTTCATGCGAGTACACTCGCATGTGCCAACACTCCTCGACGAGGATAACTGAATCTCCTGGATTTCTCAACGTTCCCATGACGTAGGACCTACCTGGGAGATGATTTTGGAAATTGAGCAACGTCCGCCTCTATTAATCGAGCCGGGAAAGTGGCCGTATTCCCTTCTTTTGTGCCACACGCCTCAGAAAAGTTGGAACACGGCGTACGTGGGAGTGCGAATCGTTGGACAGTACCATATCATGTCATAGCATATCATATCACAAAGGAATACCTATGAAACTGGGTTCAAGAAATGGAGACCCAAGCCGTCACATAACACCTGAGACGCACACGGGCAACGAAACGGCCGTTTATGCGTTTTGGTTTGTCAGGCGTCTTTCATGCGATGTGGCAAGGATGAAGGATGTGAATCCAAACTCGATTTTGATTAATTTCCCCTTATAAATGTCATATCCAAAGGGGAAAACCTACCCAAACGCATCGTTTCGACGCGCCAATATATATTTTTTGAGTTAAGGTGTGTTGGGGCATTCGCGACCACACATATACCTGGTTTCCTTAAAATGCTGCACAGGTGGCGCTTTCACTTGTTGACAATTCAACACATTTTCTGTAAATTTCTTGGGACAATGGTGATTTTCATTCACCTCAACAAACGATTATATTTTCCCCTGATATGGTTACCACATTGTGCGGAGTGCTTTTTTTGCGGGCCTGGACTTGGTAGGCACCGATGGCCCACAAAATGATTTCTGGTTTTGAATGGTCATTTGAAATCCCTGCAACGGCACCCACGATTTCGTCTTTAAGATCCAAATCGGTCTAATCTGAAAGAAATTTCATTTTCATTGTAAAATATTTTTCACCAGAGGTGGCCTGCATCTCCTGCATGTCCTTTACACGTCCCCAAAGGAATAAGTCCAAGGTGAGCGTGCTTGCCATGGAAAGTTGCCTATTTGCTGGATCGGACGCTGATGGAACGATTCATCCAGTCTGATCAAACACAGGTCACAAATGCCCCAACTTCATAATCATCATGGTCAACCCTACTTAAAAAGAGAATGCCCTCGAGAGGAACGAAAGGCTGAGGGGCTCGTTGGCAAGATGCATCTCTCCCCCTAATTGAATGTCTTCTGAATGATGAGATTCCATCGACTCTCCGAGATGGGTTGTCCAAGCGGGAGAACCCATCGACTTAGCAATCAGAATTTGCATTAAAATGGAGAGCGTCCCAGAACTTCTGATTGCGCACCGTAAACACAGCATTTCCAGCATGAATTCTGCATCGGCAAGGCCAGAGTAAAAGTTTCCAAGGGAGTCCCCCAGGACTTCGAAAGAGCCGAAGACAGCCAGCTTTTTTCTTTTATACAGAGAGGAACGAAGAATCGTTCCTGGCATTTCCCATCGATCCACGAACCTCAGACAAGGCCAGGCGGAAGAAGCACGTCCCTTGGCACAACTTTTTCATTTCCATAAGAATAATGCTCGCGTCTCTTTGATGCCTGTCACCATCAATTCTGCTCTCTTCCGCTATATGATTTTTTTTACTTTTTTTTTTCCTTCCCGAAGGTGGAAACAATAGGGGACGCGTATTGTGTTGCGGGGGGATTGCATAAACCCAGCACGACCCATGCTCAAAGGACGGCCTGGATGGCCCTCCGAATGAAACAAATTTGCTCCCACCATCGAACTCACGATGGCCTGCCCATCAGGGTATGTTATTAGAGTGACGTCTTCGTAAGGATAATAATAACAACTCTCCCATATTCATTTTCAGCATTATTCATTTCGTGAAGCAGAAATTTACCTTCTTTCTTATTGAAATCGGTGTTAATATTTTTCACGTTTAATTGCACAATATTTCAAATTTATTCATTTACAACTCGTGCTTTTTATTACGAACTTTGATATCTGAACATTTCATATTCCATTGCATAATTTTGCCTATTCGACTCAACTTGCAAAAATCTAAAATTCAAATTCTTACATTTCATGCAACACCTTATCCTGCCAAAGAAAGGCGGAATATTGAATTGAAATTTCCCTCCTTTTTTTGAAAAAAAAAAAGATGCGGATCGGCCTGCACACGGGGGACGTTCTGGCGGGGGTGGTGGGTCGGACCATGCCCCGATACTGCATGTTCGGCAACAACGTTTCCCTCACGAACAAGTTCGAATCGCTCAGCCAACCGCAGGAGATCAACGTCAGCCCGACTACCTACGAGTAAGTGAAACGGGAAGCGATGGGATTTCCGACAGGCCGAATCACAGCTTAGTAATTGACGACGGGTCAAAGGTCAAATCGACGGGTGGAAGAGACAGGGTTAACACGTTGACGACCAGCCTATTTTTGCTTGTCCGCCGCGTGGGACCAC